ATCTTTTACACTATTTTCCGCTTGCAACCTTTGTTTTGGTTTTTGTTCTCCTCTCTTGACTCTCAGGTTCATCATAAACTGAGTCTGTTTGCCTCCCAAGGCCCATTCAATGACTGACTGATGTTGCCTAGTAGCGACGATCTTGTGATTGCCAACAAGTGGTAAGCTGGTGGAAATCATGGATGTGAAGGATGTTCATGTGGAAGAATTCCTGGTGTAGCTCTGTGTTTCCCATTCAGAAGAATCACAGTGTCCATCACTATGCAGGAGGCCGGCATGCTGCTGGCAGAGATAGAATTGCCATTACAGTGTCGAATGGCCAATATTGTCAGCGAACAACATCAGCCAAGGTCCTGTTAATGCTGGGTTGGGGCGCCAACGGGTTATCTCTGGCTGGTAGAACACCAAGCTTGCCCAGGCACATACGTGAGGGCAATGGGGATTGAACCCACGACCTCCTGAATGCAACTTCTATTCCTTACCAACTAAGCTAGGCCCGCAGGCCAGGGATGTAGTCTGGAATGTTGTAGGTCAGTTAGGGTTGTGCTCCACATGGTTACTCAAGGGATTTTCCACTAAAGGAAGTAGGGACTCCGCAGCCAATACCAGCCTTTGTTTTTTTGCCACTAGTACCTTTCCCGCGTGGGAAAATAGGGAAAACTGGCAGTTTTCCCAAACTCCTGAATATTCGGAGGTCGGGCCCCATGACGACTGCCATTGATAAATCTGATCGGCGGCCGTCATTTCGTTTCGGCCTCTGGAAAGGTGGGACTCCTACCCGAGGCCTGCTATTTTCCCACGCGGCAAAGGTACTAGTCAAACAAAGGGCAATCTGCTCCTATCACTCCTTATCGTATGCTACTGTCAAATTTAAATGTAGGTATATTTCACATATTCTATATTTCGTCTTAGGTGTCTATGGTATTCGAACACCATGTTGATCTAATAACTCCAACTTCTCCAAATATGTTTTACCTTCTGCCGCAAAAATGGCTTCTAATGAAGTTATTATTGGTATTATTCCCGAAATACTTACTTAAAAAAAAAGAATAAAAAGAATAAAAAGAAAAAGAAACTACCCGCAGGCAGACGGGAGCCCCCTCTCTTTCTTTGGGGTCCACTATAGTAGGGACCAAGCTGCACCATCCTATCTCATAGTGCCCCTGAGATGAGGAAAGTGGCATAGCTGTATTCCCTAGAGGGTAATCAAATTTGCAGGCTATGGAGGGTCATGAATTATTAGTATTTATTATTATTAGGTGATTCTCAATTTAAACCACCAGTACCTACCGCATTTTTCGTACCCCCTCGGGGTCAAATGAATATAGACCCGATGGGCAGACCGATTCAGCTACCGCGTTAACGGCCACGACAACCGGTAGGTACTGGTGGTTTAAGTTGAAGAAAATATCCAACTCAAGTCTCTGGACTCTGGGGCATGAGGCTTAGAATCCGAACTTCGACCACCGATACCTTTCCCCGGGTAGGAAAACATAGATGTGGCTTGCACGCTGCCGCCGCATCTGTTGGGGCTCAGCCTCCGGAGCAAAATGGCCAGCGGCACCAGCCAAAAAGTGACCGGCGCCGGTTCGTTTCCTTTTTGGTGCGCAGAGCGTTTCCAGCCCTGAGAAAAGTGCCTAGGCAATATTGAAAAGACCTGCCCGAGATAACTTACTTTGTTCATTTGATATCATCAGGCTTTGAGCTCAGATTGGACTCTGCTTATCAACGGGTACATGGGTGCGCATATTCTCTCTCTCTCTCTCTCTCTCTCTCTCTCTCTCTCTCTCTCCCCGTGTGTGTGTGTGTGTCAATAGAAGTGTGGCAATTTTTCGGAATTATGGGAACAGGTCCTAATGTGAGCATGCGCTCAGTATGCTTCAGAGGATTAGCGTCATTAGACCGCCAGTAGTTTTGGCCAGCATTTTTCCAAGCCTGGAAACATCCGCCAAAAGAAAAACGAACCAGCGCATGCCTTCTTTTGGCTGGTACCGTCTGTCATTGTGCTCCGCCGCTCCGGTAGACCTACCCACAAACTTGCAGTGGGTAAGCAGCTGAAATCGGAGAAAAATGGTTGTCTTGGTTCCCCCTAATGCTGCAAAGACCTCCCTGGCTGAGAAGCCACGTCCTGTCAAGCCTTGGATTGCCTGGCTTTAAATTTGCATGTTGCCACTTCGCAACTTACTCAGTCTCATCTATGTTCTATGCAATTTGGGAGAGGAATGTCCGGTTAAATCTCAGATGAAATGGACGAGATCGTCGAGATGTCATGTATCTCATTCTCAGTACTTTTCATTTTAAACATTTTGAGAGTTCAAGTTCCATTCCCTTCTTCTTCTTCAATCGTTGAACGGTGGCTTCTGTCAGTTTGCTCAATATTCTGTGCGATTTGATTTCTGTGGGCCAAATTGTATGGTATCTACCTTAGTAGTACCTTTGCAGCACAGTGCTGAGAAGGTGTTTCATGGTCAAACACTGACAATCAGGAATTGGCATCATGTGGTATGCAAACTTTTTGCAATGCAAAGTTGCAAGCTGAATTCAATGCACAACTTTTTTTCAGAGAAAACTACGGTGCAGTCAAGGTTACAGATTGTAATGGCATTTGAAACTGCGTTTTAGCAGTTTAGTCAGGGCCCGAGTTTCAATTGCAGTTGAAACTTGGGCTGACCTTTTTTAGCAGTTCAGTCAGACACGTGGCCCGTTTTTTTTTGTTTTTTTTTTTTCGTTTTTTTTTCTTTTCGTTTTTTTTTTTTTTTTGTCGCATGGCAGGGCCTGTCTCTTATACACATCTAGATGTGTATAAGAGACAGGTACTAGTCCATCAAGAAGGCTACAGTCGGGGATATAGACATGTCACAGCCGTGACTTTTGGCCCTAATCCAAGTTGGGTTGGAGGTTGTAAAACACTGGTAGAGAATGAGGTTAATCCTCCTATACTGGAGAGGCCTTTTAAAGCTGTGGTCAGAAGCTCAAACTCGATTATCTGTCAAGTCTGCTTATTGAGTTGGGCATGCTGGACCCGATTTCCAGCAGGTGTCGCTCCCCTCCAATAGACTGGAGCCTTCTACGTGGGGGAAAAACGCAACAACACGAACCCACGCGGCACGCTGCCCTACATAAGACCACTCATCGGGCAGGAAGAGGTGTCACACACGAACCAACCAATAGGGCATTGCAATTGAAGATGAAGAATGCATCCTGCCACTTTCTTGTCGAAGATGCACTCGTCTTTTGCTCTGATTTCAAATTGGCAAGGTGTGGAACTACATAGTTAGTTACCGAGTTTGAGGATGTCCTGATGAGAACAGTGAGGGCGTATTGGCACCACTCACCCCGGGCTGACCAAATGGGAGAAATGGCCTAAAAATTGTAATGATATGATGATACAGTGTCACTTTGTTTGTAGCTCTTGGCGAGTGGTGGTTGTGAATAGAGGGCTTTTTTTTTTGCTTTTTTTTTTCACGATGCTTTTTTGCTTCTTCTTTGTTTTGGTGCGTTTTTGTTGGTGTGTGCAAAGGTGCATAGCTTGGAGCCTTGGAAAGATACGGAAGATGTGGAAGAAGTGGAGTGCTCCATTTTGCTGGCCGGTGCACTGCGTGACGCGAAAACCGGTTTTCTATCGTCTCTCTTTACACTCTGTTGATTAGCAGTTAGGTTTGTGTAACATTCATTTCAGATCTGTGTATTTGCGACGGAGAGGATTGCTGCCTGTGCGGCCAGATGCCAATTACACGCTTCCAGCCGTCTCGCCCGAGTTCAATATAGACGCAGGCACCTCGTTTCTCTCTCTCTCTCTCTCTCTCTCTCTCTCTCTCTCTCTCTCTCTTGCGCGCGCGCGCGTGTGCACGTGTGCACATGTTGCGTCTGCGGGGCCTTGCACATAGACATTTCCTGCGGCTGCAATGTATTTATAACCTCAGCCACTGACACCCAAAGATTTGATGCCTCCGTCTCCTGTGGAAGAAAGGCTGTCTTACAAAGGAGAAGCATCTCTCGGCCTGGCAAGAGCCGACATCTGTATTATCCGCACGGGTCTCACTGTCTCTCTTCTCCGTCAGTACTTCCAAGGTTAAATTTTAAATCCTCAGACTGCCGTACCGGATGTTTCTGACTGCTCTAGCGGTTAGATTCAATTCAGAATGCCCAAGTGGCTGTGTGCCGTAATCCTTACTTCTTCTTCCTTCCGCGCTAAGCGTAGCAGACTCGAGGTCAGGCGCAAATGGTGGTGCTGTGAGGTGCTTTTATGCAAAAAAAAAACAAGCATTGAAAATTTATTCGTGTTCCCTTTATCCTCCCAGACATTGATGCTATTCCGTTTATAACCGTTTTTCACTGTTGTGACTGTTGTCTGGCATCGCTTCCGACCCATCTGAGTTCCGGTTCCATTTGTCCGTCATTCTGGTCTATTTCGCTCTCCCTCCGTTTCATTCCGTTCCGTTCCGTCTCTTTCCGTTCCGTTCCATTGCGCTCTCTCTCCGTTCCGTTCCGTTCCATTCCGTTCCGTTCCCGTTCTGATACAGTTGCCTTGTCCCGTTCCGTTCCGCTCTCTCTCCGTTCCATTCTGTTCCGTTCCGTTCTGATACAGTTGCCTTATGTTTTTGTTCCTGTCTGCGCCTTTCTTACGTTTTTGGCTCTCTTGAAGTCATTTTGCACCGAACATCCTGTCCATTCACTATGGCAGGCAGTGATGCCCAAAAGGGGCTCCAGCTCACACTGAGGGTCAAGAAGCGGGATATTATGGTGGGGGGAGAGTTCCTTGATATGCACCCTCGACAGCCATGGGTTGCTCATATTTATACGGATGATAAGTATACCCTCCGAGTGTGCAATTACGAAGATGAGCAACAAGGGACTTCCCCGCTTTATCGTGATGTTGGGGGACTAAGGGGAATCTTGAAAGCGAGGTTCCTAGGCGACAACGATTCCGTACTTTTAGCCCAAGGATACTTTCCCGCACAGCTCGATAAGGCTAGGCCCTTACGCTATCAAAGCTGGGTTCTGTTTGTCTATAAGATCTTGCAAACTCCGCACCTCCAAATGCAGAAAGAAAAAACACTCACGGGCATGGAGGACTCATCTTGGGCAAAATTTACTGTGCATCCCACCGCCCGGTGTATTTTATCCGTTGCGGACAGCGGCTGCTGGGGGGACCATCACGACCTGCTTACGATTAGCTTTTGGGATGTAGACCATGATTTACACAGAAAGACTCATTTTCGAGGGTCTTGTATATCCGAGACAGTCTTCCATTCTGTTGAACGACACATTTTTCTGACTGGGCACAAGGACGGGACGATCAAAATGTGGGATACCAACTCCATGGCAGTTCTCCAGACCTTCTACAAGAGTCAAACTCTTAGGGGAGCCAAGGGTCGGGTAGTTACTTCCTTGCGATTCTGCGCTAGCAGACCCCAGACGTCACTTCTCATTGCGGGTCATGCATCTGGCACAATACAGGTCTGGGATTATCAGAGGAAAGAATGTATGGCCACTCTCGATGTGCATGAGCAAAAAGTAGTGCAGGCTTTCTTCCATCCACACTTGCCGTACATACTGAGTGCATCCTGCGATGGAACCGTCATGGCATGGAGCGATTCGGATTATCAGCTACAGTATACACTCTGCAGTGGCCTGACAGGACTGTCAGATGGCATTCTTTGTAGGAATGACAGTATGCTTGGGCTTTACTCTAAGGAAGAAGCATTACGTTTCATTACCTTAGAACATAACGGTCCCAAACGGAATGACTTTGAGAACAGCGTGAAAATGGAAGTGGGGAATGCAATCGAAGAATCAGACAAAAGACTCTGGTTTGAGAAAACGGATGCACACAGCATTAAGAGTCTTGTAGCAGAGCTGATTTCCGTGAGGGTAAAGAGGAGGGCACTGGAGGAGGGACTTGAGAAAGAGAGAGAAACACATGCACAGAGGATGAACGAGGTTGAGTCTGAGCTAAGCGATGTAAGGACGGAGAGACAGGTGTTGGGAGTAAGATTTGAGACACTCCAAGAAGAGCATGAGAGAGAAAAAGGCATGCTCTTAGAGAGAGTCGATGAGTTGGGGAGTCAAATAACCAATCTGATGACGGAAAGGGAGGAGCTCAAAGAAAGAATGGAGAGATCAAAGGTCAGGATTCAAGAACTGGAATCCAGGCTGGAGATGGACGGGGGCGTAGGAGAGAGATCGGAAAGGTTTGACGGGGTGCCCAGCGTGGTTCCACAAGTGGAATTTTTACATCCATTGAGAGAGTTTTCCCTGGATGAATTGAAGACTGCCACAAATGACTTTCATGATGACTCCAAAGTCGAACATCGACATTACGGATGTGTTTACGTGGGAAAGACCACACCCGTCGTGGTAAAGAGATTCGACGGGGGAAACAACATGACACGGGACAAGCATGTTCAGTTGACAAGGGATTTTGTCGACCTGTTGAAGTCTCTTGAACATCCACACCTGCAGAAGCTGCTAGGAGTGTGCTATGGAGGAAATTGTCTGGTCTATGAGCACATGGCCAGTGGAAGTGTGAAAGAGTGGATCTCCTCCATTGAAGGGTCTCGAAGGGGCTTCTTGCCGTGGTGTGTACGCCTTCGGATTATGGCTCAGGTTGCCCAAGCCTTGGCCTTCCTTCACTCCAGCAAGTCGCTAGGAGGTGGTCCTATCATCCATCGTGCCATCAAGCCCGAAAACATCCTTTTGGGTACTAGCAACTTGGTGGCCAAACTTGCTGAGGTTGACGCGGCCCTGCTTGCCCCAGACAGTAAGGATGTCGATGCGGCACCTGGAATGCCCATGTCCAATCGAGCCGATGCTCAGTACATGGCTCCAGAATTCTTGCACAGAGAGGTTTTCACTCAGCAGACTGACATTTATGCTTTCGGCATCACCATCCTGGAGATCCTCACCGGAAAGTTCAAGGATGCATTTGGAAGTATGGAAGATGCAGTGGACGATCCTGCCGTCTTTGGAAGTACCCTGGACCCAAACGCGGGAAGTTGGGATGTGCAGCTGGCCATGGAAGCAGCACAAGTAGGTCTGAGATGTGCGAATCCCAACAGACGCCTTCGACCGAGCATGAGGACAGGTGAAGGTGCCATTTTGCCTGCTCTGGAGAGTATTGCAAGTAAAGTGGAACTTGCTGACTCGATCGAGGATGTGCGAAGGATGAGCCTTTGCGAGTAGCTCAGTCACCGTGTCGAATTGGCAGGGCGGATGTAAAAGGGCTCGATGGGGGGGGGGGGGCAGTAAAGCTTGTTGATGATGGCTTTAAGTTTGCATGTTGTCACTTTGCAATGTACTCAGTCTTCTCTATGTTCGATGCAATTTGGGAGAGGAATGTGCGGTAAAATCTCAAATGAAATGGAGGAGATCTCATTTATCTCAGTCTCAAAACTTTTCATTTTAACCTTTTTTAGGGTTCAAGTTCCATTCCCCTCTTCTTCTTCAATCGTTGAACGGTGGCTTCTGTCAGTTTGCTCAATGTTATATTCTGTGCGATTTGATTTCTGTCTGCCAATCTGTATGGTGTCTACCTTAGTAGTACCTATGCAGCACAAATTGGCTGAGAAGGTGTTTCTTGGCCAACCAGGAATTGGCAAAATGTGGTATGCAAAGTTGCAATGCAATTTATGCAAACTGAATTCAATGCACAACTTCATTTTAGAGAAAACTACGGTGCAGTCAGGGTTACAGTTTGTAATTGCATTTGAAACTGCGTTTTAGCAGTTTAGTCAGGGCCCCAGTTTCAAATGCAGTTGAAACTGGGGCTGACCTTTTTTAGCAGTTCAGTCAGGCACGTGGCCCCTTTTTTTTAATCTTTTCGTTTTTTTTCTCTCNGTGTGTGTGTGTGTGTGTGTGTGTGTGTGTCAAAGATGTGTGGCAAATTTTCGGAATAAAGGAAACAGGTCCTAATGTGAGCATGCGCTCAGTATGCTTCAGAGGATTAGAGTCATTAGACCACCAGTACTTTTGGCCAACATTTTTGGCCTGGCTGCACTACTCTCGAAATGTGCAAAACGAGAGTGAATCTTCTGGTAGAAGATGGAAAGATACACCGCCATGAATTTTGTCTTTTGTACATTTCCAGAAACATACGCCAAAAGAAAAATGAACCAGCGCAGGCCTCCTTTTGGCTGGTACCGTCAGGTTTCAGCCATTGTGCGCTGGTAGGCCGACCCACAAACTTGCAATGGGTAAGCAGCCGAAATTGGAGTAAAATGACTGTCTTGGCTCCCCCGAATGCTGCAATGGTCTCCCTGGCTGAGAAGCCACGTCCTGTCGAAGCCTTGGATTGCATGGGTCTGCTAGACTAAGCTCTGCTGATAATATATCAAGACCATCTTCACCAACAAAACTGGAAAAACGGGAAAACTTCAGAAAAAAATGTGGTTTCAGTTTAGACCTTTCAAAAAGGTCTGTGTGTTTCACAGGTTCAGAAAATGTGAGGCCGAAAACTCAAATTGTTGAAACGCAGTCTACAGAAAGTGCAGCCCGAATGATCGAATGACAAAAAAGTCCATTTCCATGTCCGTTTTTTTTCCTTCTTCTATTTTTGTTCTTTTCCGTTTGGGGGAGTCGGCATCCACGTGGTGTTACTCATGCTAGACAGGCAGTCTGTCCCCTGTCTAGCATTTGGGTTTGTTGGCTCGAGGTACATGCACAAAGATGTACCTCGAGCCCAGCAAAGGCAGTCTGTCCAACACGGCGCAAAGACGAGTTTCTGTTTCGCCCACGAGGAGAAGGGAAATGATGCGCATGTCAGTAGCCTCGTGAGGAGAAATAAGGTGGAAGTGCACCAAGGCAGGCGGGAATGCCCCAAGAGGGGAGCTCCAATGGAAGCAGAAAATGGGGTAAAAAAAAAGGAGAGGGGGGGGGGGGGGGGGGGAGGTATGTCCAGACCCATACCCTTTATTTTAGTTTTGAACAGTGGGACTCTGCCATAGTGAGACTCAGTGATATTTGGGGAATGAATTGGACCTGAAATCTGTGCTAGATTCAGTGGAACTGAATATAGTGCAAAGCCTGGCCAGATTCATCCAGAAATAGGCCGAAGTATTAGTAGCACCAGAAGAAGAAGAGGAACAAAATGGAGGGAGGGGTGGGGAGGAGGGAGGAACACCAGGTCCCACAAAGAGAACTGGCCTGGGACTGCTACCTTACCCAAACAGGAATGAATACCGACCCCAAGTTTTCTGCCTCTCTCTTCTCCTTGAGGCAGATTCTGATTGGCTCTAAAATTCCTTGGGGCTACTACCTAAAAGGTTCTGCAATTTCAGTTTTAGGCATCAGCTTTTCTGAAACAGATCTTTGAAAGACCGAAACAGAAACTACAAATTTCTGAAGTTAAGGAAATAACTACAACCACTGAAGGCGCCTGTGAACCAGCAGGCAGTTGGCCCGCAAGAGTGAGCAGGTTGAGTAGCAGTGGGGGGGCTACGTGTTGTTCAATGGAGTGTGCGTGATTGTCAAGTCCGTGGTGTGGTGTGGTGTGCGTTGGGTGTGTGGTGTTGAGTTCAAGGACGCTGCAGCCCTGGAGGTGGGCTGGATATCACGACCGGTATGGATCCAGTTTTTATAACACCTCCAAGGGTTGTAGTGGTTAGGATACTTCTTTCCTGTGGTGGAGGGTGCCGGTTCGAGGCCGTCCGTGCACGGCAGGGTATGATGCCCTAAACACACGTTGTTCAGTAACTACTGTGAAGGCGCCTGTGAACCAGCAGGCAGTTGGCCCGCAAGAGTGAGCAGGTTGAGTAGCAGTGGGGGGGGCTACGTGTTGTTCAACGGAGTGTGCGTGATTGTCAAGTCCATGGTGTGGTGTGCGTTGGGTGTGTGGTGTTGAGTTCAAGGACGCTGCAGCCCTGAAGGTGGGCTGGATATCACGACCGGTATGGATCTGGTTTTTATAACACCTCCAAGGGTTGTAGTGGTTACGATACTTCGTTCCTGTGGCGGAGGGTGTCGGTTCGAGGCCGTCCGTGCATGGCAGGGTATGATGCCCTAAACACACGTTGTTCAGTAACTACCACTAGGGGCCGAGTCTACTTCAGTTTTGCAATAAAAACTCGTTGGGGCATTCTAGTTGCCAGCTGAACTTCGGCCTTTCAACAGCGATTTCGTTAAAACGGACATTTTTTAATTTTTGCGCGAAATTGAAAGTCCTTTTTTTGCGATTTTTTGTATGTAATTTATTAAGTATGTTATGGGGTAAGGGGGTAAGGGGGTAAAGGGGTAAGGGGTAAAGGGGTAAGGGGTAAGGGGTAAGGGGTAAGGGGTAAGGGGTAAGGGGTAAGGGATAAGGGATAAGGGGTAATATGGGTAAGGGGTAAGGGGTAAGGGGTAGCAATGGTACGAGCTCAACAAA